ATCTAGATAAAATGGAATATTCAAATGTTTCTCATATTGCCGGGGGGGCTGTGTTCTCTTCCACACTCCCCTTGCAGGAACCACACTGATTTGTTATTTTAGAAATAAGTTGGGCACCTTTTAGAAGTAGAAAACTTTTCCAAGTCATTCCCTAGGGGGTCTAATCTCTATTGTTCTAACATGGAGGTGTGTGTATATTTGTGTATGACAGAATATGTGGGTAGTAGGTGGGTGGTGTTTGCTACCATCTCTTTTTCAAAATATCTCATAATCTTCTAATTAATATTTGTGACTTCATGTGCTCTCCTACGTGTAAAGCTTTAGTTGTCATTATCAGTCCACTTGCCTTTAACGAGACATTAACCGAGCGGTGGGGCTGGGAGCCTCTGAGTGTGTGTTGGGCAAGAGATGTGGGAGCTCATGCTTGAGATTTTCAGAGGAGCAAATCTGGATGGAGTCCTATAAAAAAATCTTTAAATATCACTGTGAGATTAGAAGGTTGTGCTGGGGGTGCTGGTGATCTGAGGCTTTGGAGTTTTGGATGTAGAAAGGAAGAAAGAAAAGAGATGCTTAATAAATATTTGTTAAATGAATAGATGATTTGTTTTTCAATAAAAGAAGAGTGATTGGATGTTCTCTGAGTCCAGAGGGTGTCGTAGTCCATTGTATAAAGAGAAGAGGTGAAGTTAGCTCCTGGTTCTGCAGACTGCATGAGGAGCTGGCCTGGGGCCTGCTCTGCTTCTGGTGAGGGCTTTCTGGCTGTGTCAGAACATGGCAGAAGTCAACGTGACAGTGAGCATCCTAGCTTTAGACTAAATCACTTTTGTGGGAAAAATCCATTCCTGAGAGAACTAATTCCTGTCTTGCCAGAGTGAGAACTCACTCGCCCCCTCTGGAGCAGCACCAAGCCATTTATGAGGGGTCTGCCCCCATGACCCAAACGCCTCCTGCTAGGCCCCACCTCCTGTCACTGCCATAGTGGGGAATCCAGTTTCAACATGAGATTTGATGGGAGCAAGAAAACCATATCCAAATCACAGCAGAGAGTGATCTTAAAGATTACATGACACCTTTTGCAAGATGTCTGTGGGTGATATTTCAGAGGCGCTGAGATTTGTCTCAACACATTAGGCAAGCTGTCCTGGGTGATGCTTTATAGGTCACTGGGACCTGTCTCTACACATTCATCAAGGTGTCCTGAGGGATGCTTCAGAGGCCACTGAGACCTGTCTCTACACATTTGGCAAGGTGTCCTGGGTGATGCGTCAAAGGTCACTGGGACCTGTCTCTACACATTCATCAGGGTGTCCTGGGTGATGTGTCAAAGGTCACTGGGACCTGTCTCTACACATGCATCAGGGTGTCCTGGGTGATGTGTCAAAGGT